TCATTTGCACAAGATGGAAGGACTTAAGAGTCCATTTAAACCTGGAGACACTCTAAGTATAATACCTAGATCATGACAGATCATCTGAAAGGAAAATATATGGATCACTGTTGTCCCTTTACAGAACTATTTTCACTGAGCTACATTTTGACATCATGCTCTTTGCTCATGGAAATTTACTAAGATACAGTTTCAGTCAACTAGTTATGTATCTACAGCAGGAAAACAGAGGCCACTATCCACCATCACTCTACTGTCCACTTTCAGACCAAACTGACAAGCTCTGCTTCCTCTGAGGAACTGTACATCTTTCTTTTTCATATAAACTATACACATTATAGAGCTGGTTACGCTTCCCTATGACCTTCCTGATATAAAAATAAGAATTCAAATTTAACTTTAAAACGCTGCAAAGTTTTATGTAATGCTTATCAGTGTTACAACCTTGAGTGGCCCTCAGTATATCTATTACTCTTGGTATTCTATCCATATTTTTATTTAATTGTGTATGTATTTACTTATTTCCTTGAGAGTTACCCTTATATGAAGTATAATAGATTTTATTAAAAATTAAATTTTAAGTGGTTCTTCTAATGTTTAAGAAAACATATGGCCAGACTCGGTGGCTCAGCCTGTAATTCTAGCACTTTGGGAGCCCGCGGGTTCGAGGGTAGCCCAAGCAACTTGGCGAGACCTCGTCTCTACAATACATCAAAAATTAGCCGGGCATGGTAGCACACAACTGTAGTTATGGCTACTTGGAAGGCTAAGGCAGAAGGATTGACAGAGTCCAGCGGTCGACGCTGGGGTGGCTGTGAGCATGACACTGCACTCTAGCCTGGGTTACGGAGTGGGACTCCAATTTTAAAAAAAGAAAGAAAGAAAACACACAATGCAAAATATGCAATGGTACCATATCTCTATAGTAGCTGATCTACAAACTAAAAAAAGGTATCACTAACTTTAAAAAGCACCTACAACCTCACAAAAAGCCCCCTTTTTATATATTTCATATTAAAAGTGGCCAACTTCGCAACAAAGCAAAACAAAAAAGTGCAGTCAAATTAGTGGTTACTTAAATTAAGTTATAGAAAAATATACAAAAATAACAAAAAGTTACACATTCACAGAATACTCCAAATTTTTACTTTTTTTCTTTGAGACAGGGTGTCACTGTCACGCAGACTGGAGTGTAGCGGCGTGATCCTAGCTCACCATAGCCCTCACCTTCGGTGTTCACGCAATCCTTCCACTTCAGCCTCCTCAGTAGCTGGAACTATAGGTGTGCACCACCATGCTCAGCTCATTTTAAAATTTTTTTGTAGCGAGAAGGTCTCACTATATAGCACAGACTGGAAAGTTTTTAATATCAACACTGAATTATAAGAATTATATTTTTTTCCCAAAATAGATAAATTCTGTATACTGTTTGTTACCAAAGAGATAAGAAGATCAGAGTTTTCAACCATTCAAATGACAATACATATTTAAAGATAGGATAACAGAAATATCAGCAACAGGTGAAGCCCAATTTACAAATCGCTGAAAACCAAAAGGTGCTTAGGGAATCAATTGTTTGGAACTTAAAACCTACATTTTCCCAAAGAAACAATGCTATCCAGAAGGAAATTACTTTTATTCTCAGACTTCCAAGACTTACCTATAAAATGACAAAAATATCTGTCTTATTTAACTAAAATTAAAAGGGAAAAATGTTCTATAAAACGTTAAGCACTATACAGATAAAGCATTCTACAATATTAAATCTGTAACATAACTGAAATTGATCTGCAATGCACTACCCCGACCCTCCTTTCTGAAGCTTCAACTTCACCAAGTATCTGACATCAGTTTTATGTCTCGGACAACTATGAATTATAAAGCTTTAGCTATTTTTTTTAAAAAATGCTCCCATTAACATTTAAAGGTCTTTCATTCATTAAATAAACATTTTTGCTATAAATGTATAAAAGTATATGATATGTAACTTAATATTTGGATATTATACTACACCCTAAAGATATTATCTATTTCAACCAATGTAAAGGCAGAAAATAAAAATGGTCACAGTAGAAATAACAATCGTAATTAGTAACATCTGAACCCCTACTATATTCTAAGCACTGTTCCAAGTGCTTCATATGCATTATTTCTTTCAATTGCTCTTAATAACTATATAAGAAAGTCACTATTACTATCACCAATTTACAGAAAAGGAAACAGAAGCAACACACTCTGTTCAAGAACACAGGAGTTTCTGTTTCTAAATCAAAAGAAAAAAGCAAAGCACGTTAAGAATGGTTGATTTATGATTAGAACTAGTCCTATAATCCATTTAAAAAAAAACAAAAACCCCAACAGATTGCAAGCAATTCAAAGCAACTAAAACACATTCAGGAAACCCTCAAAATTTATAAAAACGATTATCTTAAGAATCAATAAAAGATTTTAAAAATTCTACTTGGTTTGGTTTTTGGAATGTTAACAAGTAATTTTTGGATTTTACTTTGCTATTTAAAAACATTAAAATTAGCTGAGTATGGGGGCGTGTGCTTATGGTTCCAGCTACTTGGAACTGCTGCCAGACTTTAGTTTTATTATAAAGCAACAATAATCAAAACAGTCTCGTACTGGTACAAGAACAGGCATACAGAACAATGGAACAGGATAGAGATTCCAGAAGCAAAATATCAATTTCTCAATCAACTCATCTTCGACAAAGCCTCCACCATCAACCACTGGGGAGAGAAGAACCTATTTAGTAAACGGGGCTGGGAAAACTGGCTGACCACATGCAGAAGATTAAAACAACACCCCTACCTATCATCATACACAAAAATCAACTCCAAATGGATCAAAGACCTAAATGTAAAACCTCAAACTATAAGAACCTTAGAAAATGCAGGAGACAACCTTATATAAAGTGAAACTGGCAACTAATTCCTGATCAAAACCCCAAGTGCCCATGCCATAAGATATTAGACAGACAAGTGGGATCTCATCAAACTGACAAGCTTGTACAAAGCCAAAGAATCCACTGAGAGGCAGGGGGATAGCCAAAGACTGGGAAAAAATATCTGCCAACTGTTTATCTGACAAAGGCCTAATATCTAGGATCTACGAGAACTCAAACATGCTGAAAAGAAAAAAGCAAACAGCCCTATTACAAAGTGGGCAAAATATAGGAATAGACACTTCTCAAAAGACATACAAGCAGCCAACAGATACATGAAAAAATGCTCAGCCTCACTAGTCATCAAAGAAATGCAAATTAAAACCACACTGAGCTACCACCTAACTCCAGTCAGGATGGCCAGAGAGGATGTGGCGAAAAGGGAACACTTCTACACTGTTGGTGGGAATGTAAACTCTGTGGAAAACAGTATGGCGATTCCTAAAAGATCTAAAAATTGACGTTCCATATGACCCTGCAATCCCCCTACTGGGAATATACCTGGAAGAATTCAAATCACTCTATGAAAAAGATACCAATTGCAGAATTATTCACAATAGCAAAAACATGGAACCAACCATGCTGCCCATTGAAAGAGGACTGGATAAAAAAAAAATGTGGTACATATATATGATGGAATATTATGCAGTCATAAAGAAGGACAAAGTTATGGAACTTTGCAGCAACTTGGATGGACTCAGAGATTATAGTACTGAGTGATCTATCACAGAAACAAATAACTGAGTATCACACGTTTTCGCTCATAAGCAGACCCTGAACAACTATCATAACACTATAAGAAAAGGATTGGCAGCAGTGGGAAACTGCCAGCGGATGGTGGGAGCAGGACTGGCAGTAGTGGGAAACTGCCAGGGGAAGGGGGGCATGCCTAATCAACAAGGATATCTACATAATGAACATTTGTATACCTAACCCTGAATTGTACCCTACATATTTAAAATTAAAAATTAAAACACTCAAAGTGGGGACCCAAAGGGAGGCCCACACTTTACCTGTACAATGTCTACTTGTATACCTAATCCTGAATTGTACCCCATATCTTTAAAATAAAAACAAAACAAACAAAAAAGTGGGTAGTAGATAGTGACTTTTTTTTTAACTGCAGTCTTTCTCTGACTATTTTACAGACTGCTTAGTATTGAGCAGGTATATTTTTAAGTGAGACATTGTCAAACATTGTAACACATGGTATACAAATATACAACTACAACACTTAAACAGAAATTTTCTCTAAAGGAGTCTTCTAGATTATAATCTAAAAATGAGAAATTTGCAAATCCCATGTTATTTAATTAGATGTTCAACCAAAAATGCAATGAACTTAAATTTGATTGCAACTTTTTGTGTTACAACACTGATAAACCATTTCAAAAACCAAAGAGCTAGCAGGCTGTGGTGGTGCATAATTATAATCTCAGATACTCAGAAGGCGGAGGCAGGAGGATCACCTGAGCCCAGGAGTTTGAGATCAACCTAGGTAACATAGTAAAAGCAAAACAAAACAAAAAAACAAAACAAAGAACTAGTTATGTAAGAGCACACTGATGAATCAGTACAAACTCATGACGACAAAAATATCTAAAAATTTATATAAAAGGTTTAGTATCTTCATAAAAGGACAGCTTGCTAATTTAATAATCACCCAACATTAAAAGCAAATATTTAGAAGTTACATTCTCAAAAAAAATCACTTAACAGTTGTTATTCCAGCACTACTTTATGTATATGCAGAGATAAATCAGATGAATAACTGTCTGCTAGAGGAAAAAGGATGCAATTTTTGTTCCTTGGACAAAGCTATCTATCCACATAGATCAGTTTGGTTAAATTTATACTTTGATACTTATGTTTTTAAGTACAAAGTTTTCCAAGTCTTTGGAAAGTATATTTTTATACGAGGCTACAATCTGTTATTCTTAAGTCTGAAAAATTTGAAAAACAATAGTCGTTCATTTTGCTGCAGATATATTACTGTTCTAGTTACAGGACGCAAAGACTATGTATATATTCCAGATTAAGGTGTTACCTGATATTCAGAATCCAGTCTAAATGAAGAGTCTCTTGAGTGACAGTTATCATTTAAACTATTTTCTCTGCTTCCAGACATCATCCTAGCACTTAAAGAGCTTGAGGGTTGAACAGAAATTCTTCTTGGAATCCTTGAAGGTTTAGACTCCATTCTTAAGGTTTTCTGTAAAATGCAAATTTTCATTAATTGCCTTTGGGAAAACATGAAAGCCTTTAAAGTTTAATCCTCCTTAATCATGAGCTCAAGTTAAGAATTAACAATGCATATTAACCATATCCAATAAAATAAATTGTGAGACTATCACCACTTCTCTTCTGCAAGCCAGAGATCTGCAGTTCTTCAAAGGTTCCCTAGCATCTATAAAATGAAGCAAACACACATGGGAAAGGCGGTATAAATGAACTTTGAGGTCTACTGTTTCCAAAATCTGGGCTCTTTTCCTTACTCAATTTTGACTCGTATATCTTACATGAAGTTGCCTTTGACTTTCTACAAATTCCTCTCTAATTTAAGAGTTCAATGTCCACACATATTGTACTATTTGCATACTCCTTATCACAGTATGTTGCCATAGGCCTCAGTATGTGCCTGGAAAGTCTATGCATTCCCCATGCAAATCCTGGCCATCAATTTAAACACAAGCATCTTCATTCTCTATGTATTTCCACTTTGCGTATACTTTTATTAAGATATCATACTACCTTGCACTATAATTTATTTTCTATTTCCCCTTCTCAAGAGTGAATTTCTGGGTCAGGATCATTTAAAGTATTTTAAAAATCATTGAGTAGAATACACTAGGTATTCAATAAACACAAGTTAAAAAGGAAATGAAAGAATGAATTTTCCTTTTATTTACCACTATAGAATCTCTGTCATAACAAAAATAATGGCAATAGCCAATATTTAATGAGTATTATATGTCAGGCCCAGGGGCAAGGGCCTTCTGATTATTTGTTAGTTCACTGTATCTCTAAACCAAGTCTGTGAGTAAGTACTATATTATCCCCACTTTATAAGAAAACCCCTGCTAAGAGACTAAGTAATTTGCACACAATCACATAGCTATAAAGTTTTTCCCTCACAATGTTTTCAAGTAATGTTTATTGCACTACTAAAAAGTAACAAATTTTAAGTGAAAAAAAGTCAAGCTAAAAAACTACACAAATGGCATAAAATGTGGAACTGAGTACCTTCCACTTTATAGATTAATGCTTTCTAAGTTTTCTTCACTAAACATTTCTCAACTCATGACCAAAGTAACCATTAGCTATGTCTGATTTTTAACTATGTATGTATAAATGAAATCATGCAATAGGTACTCTTTTGTGCCTGGCTTCATTTTCTCAACATATTTGTGAGCTGCATCTGTGCATGTAATTGTAAGTTCACTCTAGTATGTTTACGTAGCATTCCACTGTATGAACACATACAATTTATTTTCCCATTCTACTGTGATGCACTTTGGATTGTTTTTAGTTCAGGGCTATTATAAACAGCACCGCTGTAAGGACATTACTTTTATAAATTTTAAAAACTTAAGATTTTCTAGGGCAAGGATTTAGGTCTCTGTATCCCATTTAAGTACAATCATGTCATATTTGTCTTTTTGTAACTGCCTTATTTCACTTAGCCTAATGTCATCAAGGTTCATCTGTTCTGTAGCATATGTCAGAATTTCTTTTTTTTTTGGGTTGGAGTCTCACTCTGTCACCCAAGCAGGAGTGCAATGGCATGCTCACAGCTACTGCAGCCTCGACTTTCTGGGCTCAGGCAATCCTTCTGCCTCAGCCTTCCAAGTAGCTGGAACTACAGGCAGGCGCCACCACACCTGAATAACTTTTTGATTTATTGTAGAGATGAGGTAGCCCTCAAACCCTGAACTCAGGCAATCCTCTAGCCTTGGCTTCTCAAAGTGCTGGGATTATAGGCCTGTGCCACTGTGCCCGGCCTTCCTTCCTTTTTAAGGCTGAATAATACTGTGTTGTATGTACAGTAATAAGTCACTGAAGAATGGGAATACATTCAGAGAAATAGGTCCTAGGCTGATTTTGTCATTGTGTGAATATCATAGAGTGTATTTACACAAACTAGATAGTATAGCCTACTACACAGCTGGGCTATGTGGCACAGCCCGTTACTCCTAGGCTACAAACCTGTACAGCATGTTTCTGTATTGAATTCTACAAGCAACTGTAGTACATGGCAATTATTTGCGCATCTAAACATAGAAAAGGTATAGTAAAAATAAATTATAATCTTATGGGGCCCTATGGTATAGGAGGCCCATCACTGACTGACACATCATTTTGAGGCACATGTAATGTACTTAAGAATAGTCAAAATCATAAAGAAAGTAGAATGGTGGCACCAGGAGCGGTGGATGGAGAATTACTGCTTAATGGGTATGGAGTTTGTTTTACAAGATGAAAAGAGTTATGCAGATAGATGGTGATAACGGTTGCACAACAGTATGAAATGTATTCAGTAACAGTGAACTGTACACTTAAGCATCATTAAGGTAAATTTTATGTTGTGTATATTTTACCACAATGAAAAAAATGAGGGAGGAGGGTGATGTATGGGTTTAGAAAGTGAGTTGTTTAATTCAAACCTGTATCTGCCAGTCTAGGCAGCATAGAGAGACCTTATCTCCACAAAAAATAAAAATAAAAAATTAGCCAGGCATGGTGGCAGGCACCCTGTAGTACCAATTACCCAGGAGGAGCCTGGGGTAGAAGAATCACTTGAGCCCAGGTCAAGGCTGTGGTGAGCCGTGGTCGTGCCACTGCACTCCAGCCTGGATGACACAGTGAGACCGTGACTCAGAAAAAAACCCTCAAAAAATGAAAACAAAAAACACTATAGCTGAAGCAACAGAACCACAACTCCATTTCTCCAAAGATAGGATATTTATTCTCTGGAGAATAAAGATTTCACAGCTAACCTCACCTCTAAATGTACAATCATATCTGCAGGGGTCAGTATTAGTAATAAAAGAAAAACCTATATAGCCACTATTGAGAACCAAAGACTTTCCTGGCCCTACATTGTTATCAGGAGATTAGAGGTTTCTCCTCTTAAATCACCAAACACCAGAGATAAGATTTCTGGATATCAGTGGGAGGTTGAGGTGAGAGGATTGCCTGAGCTCATGGGTTCGGGACCAACCTGGGCAACTTGGTGAGACCTCGTCTCTACAATAAATCATAAAATTAGTTGGGAGTGATGGTGCACGCCTGTGGTTCCAGCTACCTGGAAGTCCGAGGTGGAAGGATCATCTGAGCCCAGCAGGTTAAGAGAGTGCTACTGCACTCCAGCCTGGGCAACAGCATGAGATTCTGACTCAAAAAAGATCTCTAGATATCATTTGGAAAGTTTTCACTTAAAAATCTAGCTAGCCACCATTTTACCCCACAGTGAATTCATATAGTCACCAAAAGTTTCTAAACAGATTTTTTAGTGATTCCCTCTAACAGACAAACATGAAGAACCACTAGGTATTCAGAGAAGGTATCCAATATGAAAGACCAAAATAAATAACAACAACAACAAACTTAGGCATGAAGCACGAAGAAGAAAATCTGGGGGAAAGGGGCTAATTTCTATCAAAAGGATCACATAACATTCATTCATAAAATAAGAACAAGATGCTTAAGAATGCAATGAGAATATAACAAAGAGCTTACGGAAATTCAAAATGTGATACACTTAAAAAAAAGGTACATTGAAATTAATTTAACATAAGGACTGGAGATGAAAGAAACCTCCCAGAAAGTAGAAGGAAAAGAAGTAGAAAATGTAACATGGAAATAATAGAACTGTCAACAGGGTTATCATTTGACTATGGTCAAAGAAAAAAGATAACAGAAAAAATTACCAAAGTGGGGGAGGGGGGTTCTAAAACTGAAGGACACAAATCTCCAAACTGAAAGGGCTCAAAAGTATGCAGGAGTATCAAAGAAAAAAGACCAACACTAAGCATAATATATCATCTTGAAATTTCACAAAACCAGAAACCAAGGGAAGATCCTATGCTATCAGAATGGAAAAATGGATCACATAAAAGAAAAAGTAATCAGAATGGTTTCTTACAATAACAGCAATAATAAACTCTTAAGATGATGAATCAATGCCAGTAGTTATGAGAAAAACGGTTAGCTTCGAATTCCAATCTATCAAGTAAATGGGAAGTAGAGAATAAGATACATTTTCAGACATGGAAAGTAATTTTTTTTTTGAAAGTGGAAATGTAAAGCAAGAAAGAACAAGACATGGAACCCAGGAAGCAGCGATAGGGATGGTATGTAGAAAGCAACCAATTCAGACTAAAGCAGAACTTCAGGTAGCACTACTTCTTAAAAAAAAAAAAAAAGGCATCTCATGAAAAACACACTTCACTGGCATGTGGCAGAGATGGTGGTACAATTGGTAATAACAATAAAAATATGATAATAGGAAAAAAGACAAGTTTAAAAGTTCAATTTTTCATCTCGGAAAATATTAATGAAATGAAATACAGTTGTATTTAGGCAAATTCTTTTTAATATTTACATAATCACAATAATATAAACATAGACTACTGGATCAATTTGCTACAAAGATGTGACATGAAAGTAGGAAGGGGAATTAATGGTGAATAACAAAAAAAGTGTATAATAATGAAAAATCATAAAACAACAGTATAAACATATTGTTTAGAAAAATGAGGGTAAATAAATCTTAAAAGAAGCAACTAAATATTTGTGGGACTCAGGCTGGGACAAACGGCTGCTCTTTTCCCTATAAGTTGGATGACCATATTTCTCAATTTGCCTGAACGGTCCCAGTTATGCCCTAAAAGTCCTAATTTATTATCCCAGAATAATTATTAATAGTGCCTATGTTGTCTCTTAAAAGTGGCCCAGTTTGGATGATAAAGCATATGGTCACCTAAGATATAAATCTTTTCTACCATCAGTTTTTTAAAAAAAATAAACAATATACATGTTTGATAAGTCTATACGAAATCTTTTATTAAAAAGAGGTAGATTTTGAATAGGAAATGTTAAAAAAGGCATTCATTAGGATAAAGACTATTAATGGTTAAACACTAACATGCAAAGCCCATGAATGATTTTACAATTAAAAAATGTCAATAACAAGGTGGCTATGAAAATACT